AAGCAGAATAATTACCTGAGAACTACAAGATGAAATGGGACACTGCCCCTTATTGCTCTGCGCTCTGACACAGGCTGTAGATTAAAAAAAAAAAAAACCTGGGTAGAAAAAGAAAAGACAATATCCAGGCATTGTTAGCATAGCATTAAAAGAGAATGACTTGTAGCACTGAGGGAGTTGAATCATCTCCATATTAATGGCCAACATGCCGAGGGAATGGAGGTGAGGATTTTCTAGAAGTGGAGGGGTGTCTGGAGCTGTCAGCAGTGTGAAGGTGAAAGGTTCCAGGGAGCCGGGGAACAGAGGACACACTTAGCAGAAAGTGCACCACTGAGGATCCTTGTGTTTCACTGTGTGGAGGGATTGTGGGTGTGAGTTTGAGTTTAAAGTAAATGGCAGACTGCGGCTGTTCTGGGCAAAAATGACTTTAAAGCTATGCGGTCCCGTTGGTTTTGGACGAACTGGATGATAGCTTATGTTTTTACAACCGGAGGCCTGACGCTGCCACGGCAAGACAGGAACTGTGGTAATGAGGGGGCGGAGGCTCCGGAGATGATGAGGACCCCATGTCAGTAAGTAGGATGGGAATTCCCCTCCAAAACACCAGGATTTTTTCCACTTCCTTACATATTGTTTACTGTAACTGATAATTTTAGGGTATGGATAACCTCTTCAGAGGACAAAGCACATTAATGGCCGCTGTGCTTGCTCTCCTGGGAGATTTTAATGGCAGCTGACCTGTTATGGTTAATTCAGTCTGTGCTGTGTCAGTCACTCTGTCCAGCAGCCATCTTTTTTTCTCTTGAAAGCAACGACGAGGCTGCGATTGCTCCAAAGACCATCGCACCGTGCTGACAGTCCCTCTGCTGCTTGAATAATACAGTGTATCTATGGGAGGTGAGACAAGGTGCCAAAGTCCAATTCACTTACGGGACTCGACAGCTCAAAAGCCTCTGGTTTACTGAAAAGGGACATGAATTAATAATCACCTAATTGACTCTTATTATTTATTTTTTTTGCTCCACTCTTGCTCTGCCTTTTGTGCTTTCAAACAAAAGCCCACCCTGTGTGTCTGTCAGAAGAGGTTTGGTGGGGATGGGGGAGCTCTGTCTAATGACCGGGCAGAGGAGGTCAGGGTAACAGACTCCTGACAGATATTAAGGTCATTGATAGAGGGTAGTGGTCTCTGTGTGGGTCTCCACATTAATCAGAGGAGCATTGTTAATCCCACCAACTGCTGAGGCTAAAATAAATAATAAATACTCCAAATAAGTTCCTAAAATGACCACTCACCACATTGGACCCTGTGAAAATGATTTAAAAATAACTTTGTGACTGTGACTGTGGTAGTACTTCAGTAAATCTGCAGTTAAAACTGCAGTTATTCTTCTCTCAATTGACCTGTTCTGTTCTTTCTCGATGGTAAACATATCCTCTCGTACTCCTTGACCCTTCTCCACCAGGACTCTGTATTTTGTTCAGTGGTTCTGAACAAATCTTGGATACATGTCTCTCCTGTATGAGCATCTATGCTCTGACACCGGCGTCCAATCTGCCGTGTTACACACACACACAAAAGTTATCCTCTATTTCATTCCCAGCTTTCCCAATGTTTCGGTCAGTTTTTTCATCACCGTCGACAAAGTAGAACAGGATACAGTAGTTGGATGTTAGTCACAGTGCCGGTGTCAGGGTGTAGGATTCTCAAGAGATTGCGATTGATCAGATTTATGAAGTCCTAATTGGCCGTGACGAGCAACTGCGTCTGGGTAAGCCTCCCCGGCCCTCCATCTGTCCCCCCATCTCTCGCTCTCTCACTTTCTCCCTCTCTCTCTCTCTCGTACACACACACACACACACACACACATAAACATAAAACATCCTGAGTGAGAAAGCTGGGTTGGGCCCTTACAGCAGCTCTCCAGTGCCTTAGCATAAACAGCCACTTGTTTCACCTCTCTGGTGCTAATTGAGTAATTCTGGAAGTGGAATATACTTATAATCAATTATGTTTATCCTCTTAATCATGAGGCTGAGAGGATACTTGTGTCTACTTAGTCCACGCTCACTCTATGTACTCTATGCATGCACTTTATGGCTGTGGCACAAGCCCTGTGTTACCTGCTCTTACGTGAACATTAGATCAGTTGACAGAATTTCTCTTTTACACCAGAATTTCTTTTTTAGTTAAATAAGTTGTATTCTTAGGGGAAAAGTGCTTTATGTGTCATGCACAGATTCAGTAACTAGTAGCTAAGATTCATTTATTTCCAATAAAAAGCAGGTGCTTAAAATATTGATATATGTTCTGACAAACAGTTTTAATCAGATGTTGTTGGATTTAGGCAACTGTTAGATTGTTTTGCTAATTAGTTAGAAAAGATATTTTCCCTCCCATATCTTGTTGCTGTGAAAAATATGATATAAAGTCAAATAGTAGCCTCTTGTATTATTTTAACTAGAAACTATGCTTCATATCCATTAGAAATGTGCCTGTTAGTGTAAGGCATTGTTTAAAAATATATAACCTGATGGAGATAATCTGTTTTATGTACAAACTCACAAAGCATCAATCTATGATGTCACAGGATGCATAGTTTAAAATAAATGGCGTTTAGGAGCGGGGTTGGTTCCGGAGAACAACTTGTCCAAAACACTTCACAGCCAACACTGCACTTCCTGGGGCCCTCAGAAAAACACATGCGAGGCTAGAAGTCGATCGGATGAGCTGTTGTGGAGAAAATCGAATGGACAGACAGGCAGAAATAAAGATGGAGTGTTTTCTGGATTCATTAGTGGAATAAGCTGCTGAAGGAGAGAAGAAAGGTCTATGTGTAGAGATTGTGTTTGGTAATGAGCTGTGAATCATCAAAAAATAGAGAGAAGATGCATTAATAAAATAAAGGTATTATTCACCTTTGGTGAGTTGGTATGGTGGATAGAGTGAAAAATCACACGACCGGTCAGGCTGCTGACGTGTGAAGGTGACCACAGATGACCGTCCTTGTTTTCCTCCAGCTCCAGCGAAGTAGAAGTGGACTGAAGTGGAGCTGAAGAGGAGGAATTGTTGAGGACAGTGCCATGACTGAGAGGTTAATGTCAGAGAATGGGAGGTTCCTTTTGTTTAACATTCCCTTTGTTTATTGGCGGATGTGTTTAATAGGATTGACTGTGACTGGACCCTAATAGGGCCTCCCCGGCTGATCCCGGTGTCTCTGGGAGATCTCGCAGGCTGCTCTGTCCAAAGCCAGGTCCCCCACTGGGTAATCAGCTCAACTGCCCTTGACCTGATTGGAGCTGACGTTTTAATGTCTGGAGCAGGAGCGTGGTCAGCCCCGCTTAACCTGACCCCCCACCAAAACCACCCCTTCCGTACCAATGCCCTCTGTTCTCAATTTGGCCTTCCAGGACTGTACAAATCAGGCCAAATTTAACTCTTTATGGGCTTGTTAAGGGGATTGGCAAGACACCTCCTTAAGTTTCACCCTGAATTCTTTCCACTGGTGACAAAGCGTATTGCTGCAGCAGCTCCTCCCTGCTGGCTCCATGTGGATTTAGCTCCTCCGTGGACCTGTGCTCAACTCCAGTGCTCAAACGTGACACCTCACTATTGTGTCACCTCTACTTTTTATTTTTCTTCATAAATTGGTTTGGTGGATTTCTTGTGTGAGGCCTCTCTCTGCAGATATGGAAAGAAATCATGCTTTTTTGTTCATATTAATGTTGTTTGCTTTGAAAGGATTAGCTGTGTGATCAAGCTTGCAGTAACTATATAGATGGGAGATCTTTTCAAACACTGGCAGCCACTAGACAGTTACTTGCCCTTTTTTAATATTTCCACAGACAGAGCACCAAAGCATGGCTGTGTCCTGTAAATATGCAGAGTATGACTAATCATCAGTCTGATGCCATCTTTGAGCCCAGTGGCATGTTTTATGTCTCGAAAATCTCTGTGTTAAATGAAAGCTTGGTGTTGTATGCATCCTAGCTCAGAGGACATATCCAGATTTGCTCAGGGGTTGCAAAGAGGTTTTATAATCTCGCTGTCCTATTTTTCTTTGTCACAGTCCACTTGTGCAGAACTACAACACACTGAGGAAGGCTAAGCTGGCAACAGAAATGCAGGTCAAACAGAGAATTTCACTGGCGTTCACCTGCTTATGGAAAAAAGAAGAGGATTTTTCCAAGCTGGGTTCAATTGTAGAGCCTCCAAGATAAAAACATTTCTTTCTTGATCCCTTAAAATTGCCTGATCACTCTTATTAAATACAAATTCTAGCGAGGCAGAACTGTGACTGTTGCTTAGATATCAAAATATCTTTTTTCTGCAGCTCTTACTGTTGATTTTCTTTCTGTGACAAGTACAAAATGTGGTAAAATGCAGAAGAAGTACAAGAATTGAAAATCTTTTGTACAAGTGTTTGCTTATTTGTTAAATATGCTCCTCAATATGCTTTCATTACAATGTCAGGATAATTTCAATCACACAGTGAAATTTTGTTACTATACTGAATGAATATAAGACAATGACCACTGTTCACTATCTCACATATGATAAGTACATGTATGTGAAGCAAACTCTTATAAAGATATGTCGTACCTGAAGAAAAGCAACAATTCGTGTTCCTCTTTAACCTCCTCACTGTATGATGAGGTTGCAAGATGATTGTGTACCTTGTCTTATGTGGACTGAAAATATGTGGTGGTGTGAAACCTAAAGCTGCACCCTGTGGCCAACTAATATTTTTATTATCTGTTTATGGTGTTGTATGAGCAGCCCATCGGAGCATGTTGTCCGTGCAGCAGCATGGGAGTCATGAGTTAGCTAACAACACTTTCTCTGCCCTATTCCCATTAAATGCAGTTATATAAAAGACATTCCAAAGCCCTTTATCCAGTGTTATTGACTGACCTCCTCCAAGGCTGCCAAGTCCTCACCTTGTCTTGACATGTCTGCTTTTCCTCTCTTTATCCCTCCATGTTCATGTGTGGATGTTCAGCATTGTCCAGCCACTTGGAAAGGCACCAGCCGGATTCCCCGGCCCCCTCCAAAAGGCCCTCTTCTCGGTCGGAGACGTCAGAGAGCCCACTCTCCTCGAAGCGTCCCAGGACGACTGAGAAGAGCGCTGCGGAGCAGGTGAGATAAAAAACAGAATTTATTTCAAAGATGTTCATCAAACTCTTTGAATTTCTTGCTAAAGGTTATCTCATCCTCAATAACCAAGACCTCATTATGAGTATAAAACTTACACATCAATTAAAAGTAAAAATGTGCTTTAATAACATTCACTTATTTAGCTACTTAACCATCTCGCTGAACCTTTTTTTTCAAAAATGTTCTAAATTATTTTAGCCTTTCCGCTGCAGTTGCACGGCTAATTGTGTATAAGGTGGAAAATCAATATAGTCTTTGACAGATGAGAGCACTTTGAAGTGGGTGCTCAGTATCACACACTTCTCTGTGATCAGAAGGACCTGCCTGCTTCGGGGGGGCACTCTTTACCCCTGAGTTTCAGCTCCTCTTCCAGCAAGCTTCACTGTACCCACCACACCCAGTTCACCCCGTTAACCCTCTGCCCCCCTCCCTCTGTTTCCGTCTTTACCTCCACCCAGATGTACCAGTGCCCCTACTGCAAGTTCACCAACACGGACCTGAATCGCCTCAGAATGCACGTGATGACGCAGCACTCTGTCCAGCCCATGTTACGCTGCCCACTGTGCCAGGACATGCTCAACAACAAGATCCACCTGCAGTTCCACCTCACACACCTCCACAGTGTTGCGCCTGACTGCGTTGAAAAGCTCATCGCCACAGTAAGTGCTGTACTCTGTGTACGTGATTGGATATAGGGAGGTTGGAAAAGTATCTCATTTCAGCCATGCGTCTGAATCCTTTTCTTTACCAAACTACATATTTAATTTTATTGAATTGGTATGTTATAGTTTGTCATGGCAATTACAGTTTGTTTATTCTGGTCATCTTGTCCTGTAGCAAGTAATATACTGAAGTCATTTAGGTCATGTCGAAATGCTGAAGTAGAAAAAGCGCAGTAGATGAAATCATGTATTCTGTGAATTATGATCCAAACTTCAGTCTCATCTGTCAATATATCCACAGTCATTTATATTTTGTATCAAAGGAGACAAAACCAAAGCCAGTGGAAGCTGCTCTGTTGCCTCTATAGTCCCAGCATATTACTACATATGCACATTATAACCAGTCATATTACAGACAGTGGGTCAGGTCAAAGATCAGTGTATAGATTCAACAATGCCAAGAAGATGAGTCACTCAGTCTTAATCAATCCGTAACCCTGGAGTAGCCGTTTTAGCCGTGCGAACAATTATCATTCTTGTCTTCACTCCTCTAAATTGCCAACATTCAGTCCTTTATCAAACACAAAGAATTCTGTTAATTTTGAAATGGCTGCAGGCAATCCCATTGGTTCACTGGAAATGATTGGGCCCTTTTTGAAGACGCATATGTTTCTCCTCCTTTTCATTGTCTTAATGTGTCCATCATTAGAAAGCCTTGTTTCTAGCCCTCTTCTAATCGCAGTAATTTAGGCTGTTTTTTGTATGTTTTAAATTATTTTAAGATGAGCAGGTGTGTCACAAAGATAATTGTGACACAGATAAACCAAGATTAGATGAACAGTTTCACCACTTGTATATGTACAATGGAAATAATGTTTTTCACTACAAATCAGGTAAAATCATCTTTTATCTAAACAATACCTGAATGTTTAGACAGTGTATACAACAGCATGCATACAATTCTGTGTCGGTGCTCAGGTCGACTCCTACAGGAAATAATATGTTAATTTATAGTGTTTGCAGCTTCAATCGTGTGATCGTTGACTGTCAAGTCCTGAAGTTAGATTTACATCAGCTGCACGGGTACGTCCGTGTGAGAGAATACTTTCCGTGCCTTCTTTAATACTCATCAAGGGGAAATAAAATTTTATTTGCCCTCTTTTCTTGTAAATCGCTGAGCAAATCTTTGTTCTGTTCTATCCCGCGAAGCTAAATAGCTTTCTGGACAATCACCGAATAAAAAATTGCTCTGTCTGCTGCCTAGCCATCTTCATCCCCATCTAGAAAGTAAATGGCAAGCACATTAGTATGGTAGATGGCAATATTTATTTCTTTTATAGGAGGTAGTAATGTACTGAGCCACTATAAGAGTACTGTGATAGAACAGAGGTAATATAACACACATTAAAGCCAGCACCTTTTTTTATAACTGGTGAATGCAGATGGAAAGGTACTTTATCCCTTTCACGTGTCTGAGGAGAGCAGCCTAATTAATCCTGAAATAGGTGACTTTTATTTCTTGTCAAGCATGCATAATGATGCCTTCAGTCTTCCACCCTCCATCCACCTATTGTCTCTGCACTCCCCTCCCCCCCGCCCCATGTCTCTCATGTCTTGCTGTATCATATATAGTACATATATGCATACATGCACATTCCCTCACTCCTACCTCTCTCACCCTGTCTCGTTTTTCTGTCTGTATAAGATAGGGGTAATGAAAATAATTGCACTTCATTAATTCGGAGTCTGGCTGGTTGATTTTGAACTGTGTTTGCCAATTAGGCTGTCCAAATTAAAAGTGACCTTGGGAATCTCTGTTCTCTCCTCTAATCGTCATATGGAGCAGTTGTCTAGAAACAGCTCACTTTGTGATGTAAATCATTGTTTTTTTGTGACTTTCCATGCTGATTGCATCATTTTTGAAGCACTAGAGGTAACAAATAAGGAGATAGTTGGATGCTTACTCGACAACATATTATCTGTAGTTTGTGATGGACAGTGTTCAGTGTTTTTCTTAACCTTAAAAACCCTGTTGCTTGAGGATGATGCTCCTCCATTTGGATCTGGCCTGTTGGCTCTATGACGCACCACAGTACATTCAGCTGTGTTCTCACTGTGTCTATTAGAGGAATAATTAGGGAGTATATGGTGCATATGGTAGATTAACCAAAGCATTAGACATACAGATCTGATAATGCACAATTACTTATAAAATATGTCTAATCAGGGACTTTGCAGTTACAATGAGTTGCTTAGCCCACAGGACCACTAGGATATATTCTTTAATATATTTTCTCCTTTGTCTCCCTCTTTTAAACATCTATATTTGAAATCACTTAAATGAGTAATACACATTTAAGCTACGAGTGAAAGGGGAAGTGTCCTAAAAGTGTCAACATTGAGTTAAATTAAGGTTCAACAGAAAAACAAAGCATATAAGGTTTGGGGGTTGTAAATTAAAAGCTGATTACTTTGTGAAGTTAATTGAAGGATACAAGGAGGAAAAAGTCAGGATCTCATTTTTCAAACACACTCAGTTTCCGCTGCTGACGAGTGTAAAATAGGGATCTACAGGTTTTAGGGATAAAGGGAGGCTATGAGAGGACGGAATAGGAAGAGGCTGAGGTTGAAACCGTTCACACTTGACTGACTTTAACATTCTTTGGGATAGCGAAGAATCAGGGTACTTCCTCTGTACTTCTTCAATCAATACGTATTAATCCTTGAAATGTTTGAATTAGAAAAGTGAAAGGATTAAATATTTTTTAAACATATGCATATTTTAGCAATGAAATTGTTGTGTAGTTTTCTTAATTGGAAATATATCACTGAAAAATCTTAATCAAGCTTTAAAAAGATAGCTACAGTACAGTAGTAATTTTTCACGAGTTTTTCCATTACTTATGTTGTATTAGTTGTTCCTCATAAAGCTTTTCGGCTGGCTGAGATACTGTATGAGACAAGGTCCATCGTCCTAATTGGCTGCAGCAGAATTTAAATAGGCACATAAGAGAGTATATAGGATAGTGACACTTTACATTCCATAAAAGGTAAACAGAGTCTATAATAAGGTTATGATTGTGTGTCAATACATGTTTATATGTGCTTGTTGAGTGATTCATAGCAACATGTGAATGTGATGTGAGATTCTCAGCGTTGACTTCGTTAGGTGTCTCTAACACTATGTAAAAATGTAATTGCACCACTGCAGTATTATTGATCCGTCTAACTGACTTCTTAGTGAATATTTTGTGTAGCCCCCTGTTTGGGTCTGAAGTTTTCCTTGAAGGTTTTAAACTAAAATATAACATTTATCTCTTAGCGAGATAATTAACACCAGGATTCCTTTGTGCTTTGTTTTTCCAGGTGACAGCAACTGAAGTACTGCCAGCAAGCATGTTCATACCTGTACCGAGTCCAGACAGAGAGTCCCAGAGCACCCCTCATGCCACAGCTAATTCTAACTCTGAAGATGCAAAGAAGCAAGCTGGTTAGTATATGATGCGCTTTAGAATTTAGGGTGAATTTTTCTTTCTTAAAAAGGTCAATCGATTACAGTAGTTTGGGGGCTTTGGTGTGTAATGTGGATATTGTAACCATGAATGACTTTACAATTAATGAGATTGAACTAATTTGACAATTTTCTAAATTTGTATGAAGTCAGTAATTGTTATTACATAGACTGGAGTCTTTATTCAGGTTCACAAAAGAATAGTACTTCCATGATGTGTACTTTGATCAAGTATTTTAGGCACTACTGTAGACAAAATCTTACTTTGCATATGTAGGCACCTAATGGATTGTTCTTATCTTCGGCTTACCTATTCACAGATGCATCAGATGCTGATCCAGAGAAGGGTGTGTCATTCCCAATAGAAATAGCTGAAGCTCGCAAGTCACCTCTGGAAGATCAACAGTCAGAGAGAGATGATGCCACAGGATTCCTGTGCTGGAAGAAAGGCTGTAATCAAGTGTTCAAGTCCTCCAACTCCCTCCAGTTGCACTTCAATGAAGTTCACAACAAAAGGCCTCAGTTGCCTGTTTCAGATCGCCATGTCTACAAGTACCGCTGTAACCAATGCAGTCTGGCCTTCAAGACTGTAGAAAAACTTCAGCTCCATTCACAGTATCATGTGATCAGGGCAGCCACCATGTGCTGCCTTTGCCAGCGAAGCTTCAGAACACTACAGGCTTTGAAGAAACATTTAGAAACCAGCCACCTGGAGCTGAGTGAAGCAGATATCCAGCAGCTTTATGGGGGCTTATTGATGAATGGTGACATTATGGTAATGGGTGACCCATCCCTTGGTGAGGAGCATGTAACTCTGGGGGAAGACGACAAGGAGGGAGATGAAAGTGACCCGGAAGAGAAGCAAAGCCCAACAGGCAGTGACTCGGGCTCACTGCAAGAAGATTCTGGATCTGAACCTAAACGTGCTTTACCATTCAGAAAGGGCCCCAACTTTACTATGGAGAAGTTCTTGGATCCATCTCGCCCTTTCAAGTGCACTGTATGCAAAGAGTCTTTTACACAGAAGAACATTCTTCTGGTTCACTACAACTCTGTCTCCCATCTTCACAAGGTGAAGAGGGCTCTACAGGAGTCCACTAGTGGTCAACCTGAGCCTACCAGCAGTCCTGACAACAAGCCATTCAAATGCAGCACTTGTAACGTGGCATACAGCCAGAGTTCCACTCTGGAGATTCACATGCGCTCTGTTTTACACCAGACTAAAGCTAGGGCAGCCAAACTTGAAGCAGCAGGAGGGATCCCTAGCTCTGCGAGTACTCCTGGATTAAGTGGAGGAGGATCCAGTATCAGCACTTCAACATCTAGTCCAATCCCAGCAACTAACTCAACTACTAGCTCAACCAACCACAGTTCCTCTGGGTCTCAAACAACTCAGAGTATTCTTGGAGGAAACCATATGAGCCAGAGTCACTGCATTGAAACCCTGGGGAATTCATCGGTGAACTGCCATTCCTCTCCATCTGAGAACCATGAGGTGAAAAAGAATAAATTTACAGACATGCTGTCAGCAAGGGGGCAACAACAACAGCAACAACAACAGCAACAACAACAGCAACAGCAACAGCAACAACAACAACAGCAGCAACAACAGCAGCAACAACTTCAGCAGCAGCAACAGCAATTGGCTCAGGCTCAAGCCCAAGCCCAAGTTCAGCTTCAGCAAGAACTCCAACAGCAGGCTGCTATTCTGCAATCCCAGCTATTCAACCCAGCACTTCTGCAGCACTTCCCAATGACAACTGATGCACTCCTCCCCCTGCAACAACAGCAATTGTTGTTCCCTTTCTACATCCCTGGTGCAGAATTTCAGCTGAACCCAGAAATCAACCTCAGTAACTCAGCACTTGGCCTAGCAGGATCCTCCACCTCCTCACTGCTGGAAGATCTAAAAAACTCAGCTCAGCAGGCCCAGCAGAGTTGCTTGCAGCAGCAATTGATGCACCACCATCTTCAGCAGCAACATCAACAACAGCAGCAACAGCAGCAGTCTCACTCACAGGCTCAGAGTCAGATGGCATTGCTGCAGCAAAGTGCATCTCTCCTTCAACAGGTTGAAAAAAAGCAGAAAACTCACTCCTCTCACAATGAGAAAGACAGAGAAATACAAAGAGAGAAGGATTCATCTGAAAAAAATGACGAATATGTTAACAAAGATTCTGCAGACAGCAAGCTAAGAGACAAGAAAGATATTCAGCACATTTCGATTAACATAAACCATGATACTGGATTGCCTCCACCAAGGATTGCTTCCGATGCTAGAGGAAATGCAACCAAAGCTCTATTGGAAAATTTTGGGTTCGAGTTAGTAATTCAGTACAATGAAAACAAACAGAAAGCTCAGAAAAAGACAGCTGGACCTACAGGATCAAGTGGTCCAGGTGGGATAACAAGAGTGGTGGACCCCATTGAGGGATTAGAAAAACTGGAATGTGAAGCCTGTGGCAAGCTGTTTTCAAACATACTGATTCTAAAGAGTCACCAGGAGCATATCCATCAGGCTTTCTTTCCATTTCGATCCCTTGAGAGATTTGCCAAGGAATACAGAGAGCATTATGATAAACTCTATCCATTGAGACCCCCTACACCAGAGGCAGCTCCAGCTCCTCCACCGCCTCCTCCTCCACCTCCCCCTCCACCCCAAAGAGCTCCCACACCAAATATCCCTGTCTCTTCTGCCTCACTTACACCTCCAACTGTACCTCCCCCACAGCCACAAGTTTCAATGGCACAAATTTCCATGCAAATGGATTTGCCCCTCTTCTCACCACTCATGATGCAATCTATGTCTCTGCAGTCTTTGCCCAGTCAGTTGAATCCCCAGTTACAGTCTGTTGAGCCAAACCTGGCCTCAGACCTGGCCCAGCTATATCAACAACAGCTTACACCAGCCATGCTACAGCAGCAGCAGAACAAAAGGCCACGGACGCGCATCACAGATGACCAGCTTAGGGTCCTGCGACAGTACTTTGATATCAACAATTCACCAAATGAGGAACAAATCAAAGAGATGGCAGACAAGTCGGGGCTGCCTCAAAAAGTCATTAAGCACTGGTTCAGAAACACCCTTTTTAAAGAGAGACAGCGCAACAAAGACTCACCATACAATTTCAATAATCCACCAACAACAACTCTAGAAGACACAAAAATTGATTCTAAACCTCCTTCACCTGAACCTCAGAAACAAGAATTTTATGGGAGTAAGAGATCATCCAGGACTAGGTTTACTGACTACCAGCTAAGAGTGCTACAAGACTTCTTTGATGCTAATGCTTACCCTAAAGATGATGAATTTGAACAGCTCTCCAACCTTTTGGGCCTCCCCACTCGTGTTATTGTTGTGTGGTTCCAAAATGCTCGCCAGAAGGCCAGGAAGAACTATGAAAACCAAGGGGAAGGGAGTAAAGAGGGTGAAAGACGAGAATTGTCAAATGACCGCTATATCCGCACCTCAAATCTGAACTACCAGTGCAAGAAATGCAGTCTGGTTTTCCAGCGGATTTTTGATCTAATAAAACACCAAAAGAAGCTGTGTTACAAAGATGAAGATGAGGATGGACAGTATGACAGCCAAAACGAGGATTCATTAGATCTTTCCCATGAATGTTATACTCCCTCTGGGTCTTCCTGTCACACTCCAATGCCCTCTTCTTCAAGTCTCTGCCCACTCCCACCCTCCACTTCAGCATTCTCACACCTGTCATCTACTGAGAAAGAGGAGGCATCACCAGCATCCACCTCAAACCTATACGACGAGAAACCCAAGCAATTACCAGACATTTCTGATGATCCTCGAGAAAATATAACCTCTATAAAGCAGGAAATTGTGCATCAACCCCAGTCCGAGGCACAACACCATAGACCTCAGAGAGAAGAGAAGATTCAAACGATTTCCAAGTCCATCAAACATTCATCTCCTTCGTTCTCTCAGCAACAACAGCAGTGTGGTCCCTCAGCCTCTCAGACAAGCCAAGCCTCATCACAAAGCTCTCACATGAGCCTCAATGCACACCTAACCTCTGCCACACAACAACTGGCACAACAGATGATTCCTTACCAGTGTGAGCAGTGCAAGATTGGCTTCCCTTCCTTTGAGCACTGGCAGGAACACCAGCAATTACACTTCCTTTCTGTGCAAAATCAATTCATCCACCCTCAATTCCTCGACCGTCCAATTGACATGCCTTTCATGCTATTTGATCCCAGCAATCCTCTCCTGGCAAGTCAGCTTCTCTCTGGGGCATTGCCACAGATCCCCAGCAGCTCTGCCACCTCTCCGTCCACCCCCACTTCCACCATGAACTCCCTGAAGAGGAAGTTAGAGGAGAAAGCTGGCACTAGTCCAGGAGAGAATGACAGCACAAACAGCGGAGAAGAGCCACAGAGAGACAAGCGGCTCAGAACCACCATCACACCTGAGCAGCTGGAGATCCTATATCAGAAGTATTTGTTAGATTCTAATCCTACACGTAAAATGCTTGACCACATTGCTCATGAAGTGGGATTAAAAAAGAGAGTAGTGCAAGTCTGGTTCCAAAATACCAGAGCTAGAGAGAGAAAAGGTCAGTTTAGAGCAGTGGGGCCCGCTCAAGCTCATCGCAGGTGCCCTTTCTGTCGAGCTCTTTTTAAAGCAAAAACTGCCCTGGAGGCACATATTCGCTCTCGTCACTGGCATGAAGCCAAACGTGCCGGATATAATTTAACACTTGCTGGTATGTTACCTGAACAGGAGGGTATGCAAATAAAAATTGATGCTCTAGAGACAGCAACTTACTCACAACTTGTCTCTACAAACAGTGATGGACAAAGCTCCTCTATGTCACCAGTGAACAAAAGCATGGATTTGTCTCCCAGGGCTTTATTGAGCCCTTCATCAATTAAAGTTGAGGGAATGGAAGATTTTGAGAGTGCAACCATGTCTTCTGTGAACCTCAGCTATGATCCGAGCAAACTGGATAATGACGATTGTTCTTCTGTGAATACTGCCATCACAGACACAACCACAGGTGATGAGGCCAATGCTGATAATGACAGTGCTGATGCAAAGCACAGCCAGAATAGTGGGGATTACTTGTCTAAGTCTGGAGGCACAGTCCCCATCCTTGAAAATGATGACCAGATGTCCTCAGGGCTTGTAAGCCCTGCAACAAGCTATTATGCTAAGGACTATGAAAATGAACATATAATTGACCATAGTGAAACGTCCAGCCTGGCTGACCCCTGCTCCCCAAGTCCTGGAGCATCAGGCAGCAGGAGCATCGACAGTGGAGATCGACCTGGACAAAAGCGCTTTCGAACACAGATGACCAACCTCCAGCTGAAATTGTTGAAATCCTGTTTTAACGACTACAGGACTCCCACTATGCTGGAATGTGAGGTACTTGGCAATGACATTGGACTTCCAAAGAGAGTGGTTCAGGTGTGGTTTCAAAATGCCCGTGCCAAGGAGAAAAAGGCAAAGCTCAACATGGCCAAGCACTTCGGAATAAATCAGACATCCTATGAGGGGCCGAAGACTGAATGCACTTTGTGTGGTGTCAAGTACAGTGCTCGCCTCTCTGTTCGTGATCACATTTTCTCACAGCAACACATCTCTAAGGTGAAGGATACCATTGGCAGCCAGATTGATAAGGAAAAAGAATACTTTGACCCAGCCACTGTCCGCCAACTTATGGCCCAGCAAGAGATGGATCGCATTAAGAAGGCCAATGAAGTTTTAGGACTGGCTCAGCAGCAGGCTATGCAGCAGCAGGGGATATTTGATAACCCTGCAATGCAGGCTTTGAATCTACAGTCAGCCTATCCAAATCTGCAAGGCATCCCACCTGTCCTTTTGCCAGGAGTTGGTAGCCCCTCTCTTTCCAGCTTCAACTCATCTAATTCAGGTAGATCATCATTTTGCATTAATTTACTGAAATACAGTTACAATTTTCTTTTCAAATGTAAAGTAACAAATTCAAACTATTATTAGCGATTACTACAAGAAATATGCTGTAATCACATGGTGTGCATAGTGTAGTAGTGTAAAACAGTAATAATGTTAAAAACAAAAGCGCATTATATTTTCATAACAAATACCTGAATTAATTCTTCCCTTTTTGTCTGTTCCTGAAAATTTTCCAGCTTTAACTCCTCCAAAACCTTCAAACCTCCTGAACATGCCTGGTGCCAGTGTTCCCTCACCTAGCCTTCCTACATCCGGATTACCCAACAAGCCTCCCTCCTCATCGTCTCTTGCCGCATCCAGCCCAGCCCAGCCCAACACATCTGCTTCGCACTCAAGTCCCACCACCACATCAAACTCCACTTCCTCAACCACCCAGTCCAGTTCCCGGCCTGAACCCCCCAAAGAACGTAGTACTGATAGGGTGCGGGAGAAGGAGAAGCCCAAGGAAAAGACAGAGAAGCCCTCAACCCCATCATCGACTGGAAGCACTCCTGCTCCATCCACTTCTGCTGCCAGCGCCAAGAAGGAGAAACCAGACACAGCTGTACCTGCCACCTCTATGCCAACACCTGGCATGGAGTATGTGGTAGATCCTGCCCAGCTTCAGGCTCTGCAGGCAGCTTTGGCATCAGATCCCACAGCTCTCCTCACAAACCAGTTCCTGCCCTACTTCATGCCTGGCTTTTCCCCATATTACTCTCCACAGATCCCTGGGGCTCTGCAAGGGGGCTACTTGCAACCAATGTATGGTATGGAAAGTCTATTCCCATACAACCCAGCATTGTCGCAAGCATTGATGGGCCTGTCTCCAGGGTCCCTGCTGCAGCACTACCAGCAATATCAGCAGAGCTTGCAGGAGGCACTACAGCAGCAGCAGCAGCAGCAGCAGCAGCACCAGAGGCAGCTTCAGCAGATCCAGCAACCCAAGTCGAGCCAAACTCCAGTTCCCTCTCAATCTTTGGGGGATCGTAAAGAATCTGCCAAAGATCCAGTGAAAACAGAGGCGCAAAAGGGCAACCCCCATAGTGAACCCCCCACTTCCTCCTCATCATCCTCCTCTCGTAGTAAAGTACCCGCTGAGCAGAAAGAAATGGATGGCAAAGCTGGTAACCCCCATCTAGACCAGTTCATTGTCCCCAAGGTGCAGTATAAACTGGCATGCCGCAAATGTCAAGCAGTTTTCACCAAGGAAGAAGCGGCTATTACCCACCTTAAATCGAACTGTTTTCTCGGTCAGTCTGTGGCAAACCTGCAAGAGATGTTGCTGCGTGTCCCTGGTGGCGTAGGTGCAGGGGCTGGAAGTCTCTATGACTGCCTGGCTTGTGACACTACGTTGGATGGGGAGAAAGCACTCAGTCAACACCTGGAATCGGCATTGCACAAACACAGAACAATCAAGCGATCAGCCAGAAATGCCAAAGAGCACGCTACTAGTTTATTACCTCACTCTTCAGCCTGCTTCCCCAATCCTAACACCGCATCTACCTCGCAGTCTGCCACTCATCCCATCAGCAGCCCTCCTCCCCCGCCAACAACATCAGCCACCATGCCATCCTCTGCTGTCTCCTCTTCCTTGTGCTCCTCCTCTACTACCCCACTCAACACCACAGCTGCCGGCAAATCCTGGCCCCAGGCCCCTTTCTCCAGAGCTTTAGCTGGGAAGCCCAATGCCAGTCCCTCCTCTTCTTCCTCCTCTTTTCCTCCAGTGTCCTCACCTTCAACGGTTACCTCAAGTTCATTGAGCACCTCAGGAGTTCAGACCTCGATACCAACAGACGTCTTTACTGACGAGTCTGACTCTGACAGCAGTCAGAAGTCAGCAGACAGGCTGGGCATAACGGCGGAGGAGCCGCAGCAGCCTGGCTTTGTCAAAGACAGTAGTAGTTGTAGTAGTAATCTTGCTAGTGTAGGAACAGACTCCATCAGATTGTAAAAGAGCTTTCAGTGATGGACAATATTTAAAAAACACTAAAAAAGACAAAAAAAATCACAAATGGAAAAAACATAAAAAGCAGCAATGTTAAAAATACATTAAAAGTATACAAACCAATTTCAGAAAAAGATGTGTAAAGACTAACTGCAATTCCAAAGCTTGTAACCAAAAATTTAAATGTTAGTGGATTGTTTTCCCATATCAACATGCTGGTTTCCATTTTGTTTTTTTTTCTCTTGTTTCTCTTGTTTTTGTTTTACTCAACTGAAATACATGCATACTAATATATGAGAATAGAAAAGATCACTGCAGTTCTGTTTTGGGTAATGGTAGAGGAATGCTGTACTGTATGGCAATGGACTGCCTCAAAGTTGACAAATGGCCCAAGAACCCTTTTGAAGAAATACGAGTCAACAAGCTGTCCCTTTGTTTTGTAATAATTTCTACTTAATAGCACAGTCACAAAAAGCCAGTATGTACTGTATGGGAGAATAGTCTATCAGTTTTCTTGCTATTTAAGCATTCAGATACCAATGGCTTGCAAAACTAAAAGAATAATGTAATGTCTATTTTATTCTCAGGTCAACAGTTCACAGATGTTTTTCTGTTACAGAAATCCATGTTTTACACATTTTGTTTCCATCAGGAGATGAGCAATTTCTTTTCTTTTTTCAGAACTTGATTTCGTAAAGAAAGCTTTAAGTTGCATTCAATTTCAATAAGGCATTGTTTCTGGGCATTCACAAAAGGGTAAATGATTTGCTGATTTTAACATTAGAAATCCTTTTAAAAGGGGGGAAATAGCAATTCCATTATACCCAGACAAGGAGAGCACTGCAGATACAATAATGGGCGATTGAAAGTTTTGATAAAAAAAAAACAACCTTCTGTATTTATGATAGATATGAACATTTTTGGTGTTAAGTAGATTGTTGCATTGGAAATGAATTTAAACAGTATGGTAGGTTGAAAAAAAAACTTTGTGTACATTTAGCTTTTGTATTGTCCAACTTTAAGACGCTTCATTTGATGTTGTCTTGGTCATTCCGATAGACTAGATTTATGGACAGGTAATTTATCTAAACTTTATTTCTGTCTTATTCTCAACTTCTTGGGAAACATTCACCCAAAAATGCCCCTCCTGACAAGGAAGGATCCTCTTTAAGAATTATTTAAATTTTATGGTATGGTTGTTACTGTGCTAACCAAGATGAAAAAGATCCTGGGTGAAATATTGAAAGTTTTATTTTATTTAATTTTTGTGTTACCTTTGTGCACTTATCACTGTCTGACTTATATTTCTCACTCTACTTGTTCCTCTCTTCGCACTTATTTTTCTCTGCTCTCCTGTGTTTGTAGATATGTACACTACAAAGCAGGTCTTTTGTTCTTCATGTAGTGTGGTTACAGTCTTTATTTTCATTTTGACATTTTTGTTGTCATAAATGAAAACGAAAAAAGAATACCAATAATAATTCTCACGCTTTAAGACAAAAAGAAAATCCAAAGACTAAACACTTTCACCATTGGTGCATAAAGAAGAGGCTTCTTTATACTTGAGAATTTGTTGCTGTTTTTAGAGGAAAGAAAACAAAGTTTAAAAAGATAAAGGAGTACGCATCAGAGTTGCCGTATTTGCTTCTTTGCAAGCAAACAGGTAGCTTTTTTACGTAAAAACCAAAAACCAAAAAGGGCCCTTGTCCTTGCATTGTGGAGTAGCACCGTTACAGAGCCATTGCAGTTTGTAAGATAGAGGTTATTAATCTTTGTTTGACTTTTTTGTCACATTCAAATGTCCATTTTTTTTAAAGAAAATGTATAAGGTCTGGTCTTCAAGGACATACGTTTTGCTGCTAATGTAGAATTTTGAAAGAAAAAAAGAGTACCTAGATGCATGCTCATTTTGCTTTTGGCTAAGCTTTAACTAAAACAAACAATAAACCAATTTCTTGCCTCTGCAACACGTTTTTTTCCCTTGTTGCAAAAACGGAACTTTGAAGACTGTGAATATATGTTCCAAAGGACATTTTGCCGATTTTCGTTTGAACAGACCAATGTTTGAAGCCAATGATCTATAACGTTTGTAAAGACCAGTGCATTCCAAATATCACAATGGATTTTTCTTAAGCAAGGACTGATTTCATTTCATTTAATTGCTTTTAATTGTCACAATCTATTTTTTGCTCATTTTAAAGTGACTGTAAACTGTTGTGTACATTTTTGCATCATTGGTTGCTGAACAAAGTGACCTCCAAATGTCATTTTGTGCTGGCATGGAACATTGCTGAAAATCCCTCCATCCAGTCAAGGTTGTTGCTCACTTGTTAAGCAAGTTATAGTGGTTACCAAAAAATGTATATAATACATCTGGTACTGATGTGTCTCATAGGTTTAGTAACATTTATGCCAGTCAACATACAACTAGTCTCAGAGGGAAATGATGGCTGTTTTGCTGAGGTGTCGTTGCCCCTCTCCTGGGAAATCCACCAGTGACTTGTCCCATGGGTCTGCAGGGTGCCACTTCCACACATAGCTTACAGGTTTTTAAAGGGACATCTTCATTCCAAAGCATTATTTCTGGAAAAAGTAGGAGGTATTTTGGAGATGTCCCTTGTTTTCAAATACTTAGGATGCTTTCATGTCCAAAGAAGTCACCCACTTCATTTTATTGCAATGGAAATGGATGTGCATACGTATCCCCGCCCTCTCACTGATGATCTGCAGTTTCTTTTCTTTTTTTTCACCAAAACCCAGACATATTTCAATTTGTGAAGAACTACCTTGGCCACTATTGTATCACAGATAGCTACAATCTCAGAAGTGTGTTTAAGTGCTATGTCTTGCAGAGATTTGGTGTTAATACTACAGCATGCTGTTAAGCGTCAGTAGATTTGGTCTGCAAGCTTGCTAATTCTCTAAAGTCCAGTTCCCTGTTCATATGCATTTTCTTATTTTGGAAAAATCTTAAGTTGTACAGTTTTTCCTCGTATGTTTGCTTTATTTTAATTTTTGAATAATGTCAGACATGTACTGTTATTTTCGCATATGTATCTGTATTTTAGTTTCTGTATATTACTTTATCATAAATTAACACAAGCTTTAATTTGAATTGCTGAAATTAAGAAACAAAAACAAAAAAATATGACCTGGCCACTTTATGGTGTGATATTGTTCTTTATATTCATTGTCTCAATGATACTGTTTGCTCTCTTATTTCCAAAGTGTAATCTTTTGGGCTCTTTTGTGGAAGACAAATTTGAGGTCTCTACATTAGATTCAGCCAGCATGGACTGTGTGTGAGTGTGTATGTGTGTGAGTGTGTATGTTTGTGTGTGTGTGTGTTTCATAAGAGCCAGCATCAATTCAATTTTTCTTGTTTGCCTTTTACTTTTTTATATGTTACACACCAAAACAAACTGAACCACATAACTGAAATTTAGAAAATCAAATTTTAAAGCTAACGATCAGAAATTAAATAATGATACCGAAGCACTGAGCAGTTTTTACTTTGATTGAATATATGAATGTGGCCAAAGCTTTATGCAGTTGAAACAAAAAGAAAAAAAAACCTACAAGTTGTGCCCCAGATAAGTGTATATTTTATTGTGGCACAAAATGTTACTGTGGATAATTGGATCCACTGACTTACATTGGGATACTTGATTTACATGGACATTTACAAAGAGAGAGATAAAGACATGGTTTTGCTGTAGAGGTCATCTTTTGCCCACTGTGAAAACGAGCGTGTACCTGTATACAGATATAGATATATTTAAAACAAGACATCAACTTTTTTTGTTTGTTTTTGAGATGAAGTAATGAAAAGAGGAAAAAAAAAGGACACTGGGAAGCTTTGGAGATCTTGTTAGGAGGACGTGAGAGGCTGTGGGCACACCAAAACTGGGCATGGGAGCCAAAGGCAGGCTCAAAAACAGCTTTAAAACCACCTCCTTATTTGATTACTGACAACTCTGTAATGGGAATGGACTCTGGAACCAATGGACATGTGTGACACAGAGGAAACTCCTTAGATGAAACTGAACTTAAGTGGCTCCAGCTGCCTCTTCCCCCCTTTCTGTCTGTCTCTTTCTTTCTTCAGCTCTGCCTCTGCTTCTGCTCTTTGATGGACGTTTTCCAAGTTTCAGGACAGGATGGACAGAGATGCTTGCTTCATTTCTCCCAGTTCATGTTGCTACCTGTTTCATTTCCTCGTGCTTGTCTCGGGTTGACAAGTAAAGCTCTCCAGTCAAACGGCGGCTCACCCCTCTCTCTGTCGATTACAATATCTAAAGAGAGAACAGAGAGAAGGGAAGGGTTCTCAAAGGTGTCATTCTTAAAGAGGCAGTTACACTAAAAAAGCGTATTAACCAAAATTAACAACCAAACTAACAACCAAACAACCATTTGCTCCAACTTGAAAGATGAACTGTTACTTGGAGCTCTCTGTTCCTTTTGTGACTTCTGGTGCCACAATGTTTTTTTAATGCTTTTAGTTTTTCTTTTTGTTTCCTTGAATTACTCCTCCTTCGAGCCTCATAAGCATGGCTCTGTGGCTCCAGGCAGCCCATCCGAGGGTAGAAAAAAACAGCCTTGCAATGTACAAAAAAGAGCAAGTTAAACCAAAAATGTTGTTCTTGATGTCTTTTCTATACTGTAGTCTTGTTAGCTTTTTTGTTACTGTAATTATATGATGAAGATTTCCAAACTGTACCAAATTACATGGAAACTAACATACATACAACCACACGGAACTTCAGACTTTTAAAGAAACTTTTGTCACAAAACCTTGTTGTCCTAGTTAAGTTGATTGTAGATGGTAATTGAATATACTCCTTTGAAAATATTTCATCAAGTATGTTTCTTGCTCATTGTGATACATTAAAAAAGTATGAGCATAAATTGCACTGGTTTGGACTCATTTTCTGTGTTGTGGGATCTTATCTCTTGCTGTCAATGGACGACTACTTGAACGAAGTCGGAATTTAAAAATATATCATTAAAAAAAAGAATTTTCAGTTATTTATATAATTAGTGCTGTTGGGTTGTATTAATATATTT